CCTGAGGGTGTTGGCTGCGGGTAACGGGGAACGCCGTGCGGACAGGCGGCTTGAGGGCTTAGGGAAGATAAAATGTGTGGAATTCCCTGGGGGATTTCCTTTGAAGGCATGAAACTGGTGGTCTGTGGTGCTTCCTGGCAGCAGGTGATCTGCTTCAGCCAAGGGGCTGCGTTTTCATTCTAAGTGACATCCACTTACATGGCCGAGTCCTATTATTGGCTGGGCTTCCACACAGCAGAAAGATGTATTTGTATTTTTAAAGAAAACTGCTGGCATAGAAAGTGAATAAGATGGCAAGCACCGCACTGAGTCATAGAATCATAGAATGATAGAATCATTCAGATTGGAAGAGACCCTTGGGATCATCGAGTCCAACCATTTACCCTACTCTACAAAGTCCTCCCCTACACCATATCCCTCAGTACCGCATCTAAACGTCCCTTAAACACATCCAGGGATCATTTTCCCACACTGCTACTCTGCCGTTCTTGACAGCTCTTTGCCTTATCTCCTAAACCCACCAGATAGGGATGCCACCATATTCTGAAGTGATCTACTCAGAACTTATCTAGGCAACTGGTAAAACTTGTCTACATAGCCCTAAGTTTTAAATCATTATTTTATTATGCATAATGACCGTGGAGTGCAGTTCATAACCTCCTCCTTTGCAGCAGCCTTTGCCATACTTGAAATCTTTTAGTGTGTCTTCAGTCAGTCTTCTTTTCCGCAGACTAAACAATACCTCTTCGTTCAGTCTTTCCCTGGGTTGTCGTTTCAAGACTTCTGATTATTCTCGTTGCTTTCCTTTGGCCTCTCTCCACTTTCTCGAAGCGGTGTGCCAAAAACTGCATACAGTGCTTTGGTTGAGGCCTTATGAGTACCGAGTAGAGTGGAAGTATTACTTTATGTGTCTTACATATGAGACTCCTGTTTATATATCCCAGTATGATATTTGCTTTCTTCACGGTATGACATTGCTGACTCGTACTGTTCCTGATTTACTAAAAAACGTCTGAATCCCCTCCTGTCATCAGAATTTCATATACTTTGAGTTTTTCTTCCTGTTTCACTGTAGTGCCTTCTTCATGTCCCCCTTGAATTTCATCCTATGTTTCAGGCTACTTGCGCAATTTGTCAATATAATTTTATTTGTAATCTTGTTCTCCAAAATGCATGCTATCCCATACAAATTGGTTATATCTGCAACTTTAAGAATCATATTCCTATCCATAAAGATATCCAATAGTACCAGATCTCTTCAGGGCTCTAATTGAAATATCTTTCTGATATGACAAGTGATAACAGCTCTTTGGGCATAGTTTGCACAACAATTTGAACAAAAGAGAAAGCTAAAACTGCTTAAAGCGTACATGTAATGTGATGGATTCAATATCAAGCTAAGAATTTTTAGAACAATTTTGTGTAATGCAGGAACAGAAATAATTCCTGTTTCAGTCTTTCTCAGGTTTTCTTTTTGAAATGTATATGTCAGAAATTTCCAATATTGCAAGTATACTGTTTTACTCAATCCTCAGCAGGATCAAGAAAATTCCTTATTACTCATGTATTCAAGTGTTTGCAGTGCTGAGGCCAAATGCTTTCCCAGTGACATTCTGAAAAGAAAAAAAAATAAAGGGAAAAAAAAAAAGCAGACAAGACCTTAATTTCTAATGGAAAACCAGGCACACATCTTTGTCACTTTCTTCGTACTTCAAAACAAACATGTTACTCATCGACTGTTTTCCACTTCAAATCATATTTTAGCCTAATTATATTGCAAGTTGTCTTAACGAGGAACTTCAGCAAGATCAGAATCAGGCCCCAGCTGAACAGCATTTTTTGGAAGGAAGAGCCACAAGTACAAGCATGGAATTTTCCTTTAAGATTTCTGACATACATACTGAATGGTTGTAGAATTGGCATTAGACATTTAAAAGCTTCATGTCAGGGCAGACAAGCCCTTCATCAGGGCAGACAACCAATTGATAAAACACTGGAAATATCTATGGAACTGTTCATATTTCTGCCACGATCACCTTAAGAAATAAGATAAAAGAGGAGAAGCAAGGTTCTCTTCAACCCACCAAGAAAGAGAACTAGTGGGGTTCAAATGTGTATGCAAAAGCAGGATGATCCGAGAGAAAGGTGCCTCAGGTCTCTGGGCTACATGTATTCTCATTTGAAATATGACAAAGAAACGTGTGTGTTATAATGCACATCCCTGAACTTAACTTTCTTCTTAGATAATACTCCTTCACAAATCACCTGAGCTTATTAAAAGTTAGCATCAGCATCATCATCTAAATGATTGAAAAAATAAAAAGAACTATTGCATCTCCAATATGGCGTAAAATTGTCTTGGGGCTGTATATCTGATCTATTTAATTAAGTACTTCTATATTAAGGCATAATTTTGGAAATACAAAGAATACTTGATATGGATAAACATTAATGTTTGCTGCTGACCGTCGAGAAGGCTGAATGGAAACTACCCCAGGAGACAGCGTAGTAGCGTAGCTGGACAACTCAACCCCCAGGCATCTCTTTGCAGTTGTTAAATATGTGGATTATTGGGGTGTACTAAAATCCTTTTTGACCATATGAAAAGCTGGTGTAAAAGATTAAAGTTGCCCACTGGATTTAAAGCTTAAATTAAAAGTAAAAATACAAAGGAGCGTTGTTTACCATAATTTCACTTTATACTGGCATAACAGAGCAGACAACTGGGCTACAATTCTTTTTATTTCTCAATGTTCAGCAGGCACATTAGTGGTGTGATGTGATTATTTTATGTGGGTTGGTACAGGTTGTTGGTACCAGCATATCCCCTCTAGGGGGGTTTTCAAATTGAAATGTATTTGTCATTGCAGTTGTAACTAGTTTGTTATTTGCTAATTATGAACGACAAATGCAAACTAAACCTTTGTGAGCATGTGAATTTTTAAAATATATAGTATAAGGTTACATTTCCTACATGCAAGTGTCTGCAAAAGAGCCAAAAATCACTGCCTATGTAGGAAATAGCCGTATGCTTCTCCCAGACTGTGGGGAAAGGTGCGAATCAAGCGGAATGAGGTGGAATTCAGGGCTGAGTGGGAAAGAAATGACATGTGTGAGAGCCTGCAACCTTTTTGCCATCCTGGTCAGGAATGCAGAGTCGTTAGTTAGCAAGTCATCTGTGCTGTCCCCTTCAGCTCTTGATGGAAACAACACATTTCTCAGAGTGACTGACCGACCGTCCTCTGTTTCCAAGACAAGCCATTCTTTTAAATTTTGTTCTGCTGTTTCTTCCTGTGCTTATACAAACATATGCATTTCTTTTTGTGTTTCATTCATATCAGTTTTTCTCTTTCAGGTCTCTGTAGCTCAGATTCATAGACCCTTCTCTTCTTCAAGGTGGAAATTGCCATTACATCTGTTTGAGCCAGGAAAGTGTCCTTCCTGAGAAGAAAAGCAAAATTGTTGCCAAAAAAAAAAAAAAAGTTAAATGTTCATTAAAAAAAATTATGATATTTTCTTGCGTTACTGTGTTTATTTTGCTACTCAGCTCTGGAGCAGAGTAGAAAGCAGCTGTTACTTTTAATTGCACTAGAGATTTGTAAATAAAAACCAAACTGTTTCTTCTTCATCAGTATCATCTCTAATGTCTTTTCCAGATTGTCTTTGCTTCTGCACTTCTGCTTGATTGCTGTGCCTTGAGTCAGATGCGGTGATTAATGCGGCTGACTAGACTGACAACTGAGTGGAAATGGTAAATAATCACTTGTTTTTATACATGTAAAACACAGTTCCTACTCAAGTTGGAAATCCTTGCTTTTGGGAAGGGCATTCTTCCATCTTGCTTCCTGCTAACCTAAGGTCATTTAAGGAATAACTGCTTTAAGTACTTGTTGATTACAGTGATGTAAACGTCTCTGGCCCAGACGCTGCAGTGAACAAGACTTTCCACACAGGAATATGGTTAAACTGAAGGCCGCAACTTTTATGAACTACATTGCCTAATAAAACAGGGAAGAACCGCTAGCCAGCTGTTCCCCACAAACTACCCAGTAAAACAGGACCAGTGAGGTTCACCAAGCACCAGACTATGGAGGCCAAGCTAAATGTTTAAGAGAAGGCTGACCGCATCCTCCCTCCTGCAAAAGTGACCAAGGCGTGTGGTCCCAGACAATAATCACCTTCTACGCTGTCTGTCCTGGGGAGAGAGGAGTAAAGTGAGTGGTAGCTTTTTTTACTTTGTGTAAGGTGGTAAATTTTCCCTGCATTGTGGAAAAGGAAATAGCTAACTGACACCTGGCTAGTCTTTAAGACATGAACAGTAATTCTGGCCACAGCTAACATGAGAAACCCACATTGGAAACTTGCTCTCCAGTTGTGTGAATGCACAAACAAGTTCTTTGGTCTTTCCACTAGCCGAATTTGCTAGTAAAAACCACACCACATTTTCAGTGTGGTAAACACTTTTTCGCACTGTTGAAGGAAAGCACAGTAGCCAACTCAGACTAGAAAATCCAGCAATAGCCAGGCTAAATAACAACAGTTACAGAAAGAGTCAAAAAGACCGTCAGAACAAGAACTAATTTATAGAAGAGGCAACTGGAATTCACACAAAGTACATCCAACTTCCGACAGGGTCATGCAAATTTGAAGTTTCCCCACCTGAACACAGAGGATCGCTCTTGTTCCTTGTCTGCAAACCACAGTGCTTGTTAGAATAATGGAGAAAGCTGTCCTTCTCACAGTCTTGACCTGTAACC